GACTCTGTTTACCTATTTTGAATGTGTTGAGTGCAATTAACATCTGTAATAATCAAGGAAAAGAGTTGTTGTTTCTAGTAGGAGACATCAGGGTTGTGTATTTGGGTTTTTTGAGGAGGTCTAGGGGGGGAAGGGGGGGGCTGGCAGCACTGCTGGCCCTCAGGAGACACACTGTGCAGCTGAGAATGTGACAATGCATAAACACATGTGGTGGCGTTTGAAGTTACTCACTGATGTTTTTACAGCCCTCTAAAATCTGAAGTAGATGGCAAGATGAATAGGTTTTTGGTTTAGGTTTTTTTCCTCTGACTTCATCCACCTGACGGATAGAAATGAACTGTGGAGACTCTGATTCTTCTGTAACTAAACAAGGCGTTGCTGTTTGCTACTTCACAATTGAATAATTTCCTTTCTGCATCTCACATATCTCTAAAATAGCTCTACAGCAGGCTTTTTTGTTTTTTTTTCCTTCACTGAGCTCAGTTATCAGCCAATATCAAACCTCTTTGAAGAGCACTGTAAAAAGCTGCCCCTCAGAGGCCCCTCCAGAGCCAGGGAGGAGTGCATCATCTTGGCTGCAGCCCTCACCTTTTGCTTTTGAGGACAGCTTGGCTGCTGCTCTGTGGTTTGGGGAATGCACATAGAGGAAATGCTGCTTTCTCCTTTTCTCTGGGTATTCATTAGGATGAGCTCTCTTTGTTTTGCCTTTTTGCTACAAACTTTTTCTAGTTAATAAGCCACATTTGACACAGAGTAAGTGGGTGAAGCTCTAGGGAGCTCATTAGAGTTTTTCATATTTGACTGCCAATACATGAAGTCAAATCCTAAACCTAGGCTGAGATTTGTGTCGCAGGATGTGCTGAAGCCTCTGGCTAGGGCTGTGTACAGGGAGGACTCTGGCACCCTTCACTTCTTGCTTTGCTTTCAATGTTTCCACTGCCTCTTTTTCAGAGACAGCCAGCCCTACCCCTATGCTGATGCTGAAACGAGTGGCAAAACACCTACTCTATTTTCTCTGCAGTGGAGTAGTGTGCTTAGAGAGAGACTGTGTGCACAAGGCCTGGGTTCGTTTCTGCTTGGTAAGGGATAGCAGGAACAGCAGATAAGAGCCTGCTTTGGAGAGGTACAGAAAATCCTCCCCCAAATACTCTGTATCAGCGATGAGGGATGGATGTGATCAGGGTTGAGACCCAGAGGAGAGTAGCTTGCTGCAGGAGACTCAGCCTCCGAAGGTCTGGTGGCATGTCAGAATCATTCCTTGGTATCCTCCATCTCATTGCCTTTCAACTGTAGCTTTTAAAAAACAAAACCATCTGCCCCAAAAAGTTGGTAAAACGTGCAGTTGGTTCTGATACCAGCACGTACTTTCCGCTCTAGCCCTGTCTGCTAGTTCCAGAGAGGGTTCCTGGGCTGGGCCGTGCTAATCCTAGGGTTATCTCTACTGGGTGAACCTGGGGGTCTGCAGAATAAATACAGAGCTTATCATCTGCAAGGGAGTTCAAATAAAGGCATGCACACCAAATTTGGCTCCACAAACCAAAAGACTTCATGGGAGCAAGAACAAAGCTCCACTCAGCTGTCTGACATGGAGACCCATGGGCTGCTGCTGGTACAGGGAAATGCTTTCTTCTGTTTTTTTATGTGGCCACATTCATGCTTACTGAGACTCGTTATGTTTGACAGGAGTTATGCTTATTGAATGAAGCCTGTGTAGTTGTTAGATAGCTTTCCACGTGCTTCCCATCGTGGTAACCAACCTGGGGCATATTGCCTCAAAAATGGACTGGGAGGAATAATCCTAAGTGCTGGAAGTGTCTGGTGGTAGGCAGAATGATCTGTCTCTCAAAGGCAAATGCTGAATGCTTGCTTGCTTGCTTTCATAAGAGGAAACAATGTGAACTTTGGTAACACTGTCAGCAGCTGTCCAGTAAGGAGCCTGTCAGTCTTCCCAAAGAGTGCAAACTCCATTACTGTCTGAGCACTCATCATGAGAAATGTATTATAGACTGAAAAAAAGAGCTTAGTTCGTGAGGGAAGGAAAGCCCTTGACAGATTCTGAAGTGTTTGAAATAAAAATAGGTCAGACAAGCCCATGCTTCCAGCTGTGTTTGCATCCTTTACTCAACGAAAAAATTACAGTTATTGGATGGAGCCACAGGGGGGCAGGAGGCTCGTGGTGACCCCTCTGCTGAGCATCTCACTACCAAGACCATGCTAAGGTAATTACTCTGTGTTTGGAAGTCAGTGCTGTATAAAATAAAGGATAAGGGAGTGAGGAAGATGTTGACCAGCTAGGGAAGGAGGAAGAAAGTATACTTCTGGTTAAGACACTGAAAAGTTTTGGTCTATCCTTTCTTCTTCTGCCATCTGGCACCCGTGGCCTTATTTACCTGTGGTGCTGCTCAGTGTCCCCACGTTTGAGCAAAACTGTGGCTGGGCTTTGTGGGCTGCCTGCTTGACCCTGTGCAGGGTCCCAGCTGACTGCTTACTGCAGGTGGCCATCTCCCTTGGCCCTGAGGATGCAGGAGGCTGCTGGGCCAGGTAGGAAACTCCTGTTTGCATTTTGCGTGAAGAGGAAGGGAGTCTGCTAACCTGTGAAATGATGGAGGTTGGCCTGGTGCATGAGATAGGCAATGAGGTGTGTACTGCTTTGCACAGCTGAAATTGCAGCCCAGCAGCAGCAAGTACGGTGCTGAGAGTATTCAGTATGGCAGGGGTCTGTCTCTCCTGCTGTGCTATCTAGTTCACTGCAAGACAGGCATCTTCTAATTTAGCAGCACAACAAACTGGTCCCTCTTGGTAAGTAGCAATGAGGAGGCTTGTACCAGCAGCTCATCCATTTAATCCCCTTTGAGAGCCCTGAGCTTTCACATTCTGTGCAAGGAGAGGCTCATTTGTGTTGCATTCTCCTCTCTGGTTTTTATCTCCCTGTCGCAGTGCACTGGGGTGTTGCTGTGCTCCTTGGAGTCCTCCACCTGTCAGTGCCATTGGGAGCTGACAGGGAACAGCTGGATGTGCTGTGAGCATTTGTCCACAGCTATTAAAGCTGATCCAAGAGGCACTGCTGGCTTCCTAAGCCAAGACCTCAAAATTTGCATTTGCATGTATTTATTCACAGCCAGTTCTCCGTGGGGAAGTTTCTATGGCAAAGCAACCAAGTGCATATGGAGGAATAAGAACCAGTCCCACAGCTGCTTGGTTTAACCAGTCTGTTTCAAGCCATGCTTTATCTCTTGCTCCTGTAGCTGCCAGTAGCACAGAATTCCCTTGCAAAGGGCGGAACGTCTCTTCTCCATCCTGCTGATCAGCATGGCTGGGACCCAAAAGGCTACTTACAGCAGGGCTGGAAGTGGTTGGGGCTGAGCCAGGGATTCTGCAGGAAGAGCTGTCAGTGGTGGGCTGCACGCTGGGGGTCCTGCCTTGTTTCTGAGGGGTTCTTCTGTGATAGAAAAGCTGTGAAGATGCCTCAATACAGAGCCTTACAGGCAGTGCTTTGAGATGGAATGCTCAGCACCCTGCTTCCTCTTTCTAGATACACCTCTGACTCACCAGGCAGCACTGAGCTTTCAGTTGAATGCTTCGTGCCCAAGTTTTCTTCTTGGCACAGACTGCTGCTCTGCTCAGACTGCAAGGGTTTAAGCAGATCCTGCTGCCGTTTGAAATGCTTTTCATTTTTGCTGAAGGATATTTTGGAAGGAAAAGAAGAAAAACTAAATATGATCTTTTCCACAACGGAGGAGGAAAGAGGTAGCACAAGGAGAGGGAGAAACTGAGTTTTAACAAGACAGGCAGGCAGTGACCTCTGAAAGTGGCAGAGCCTTTCCCAGTAATGGGAGCGGCTGCTTGAGAAACTCTGTTTTGCCTTCTGCAAGACAATCTCATGCCCCCAAATGTAGCCTTTGCCATAGAAATTACTCCACAAATCTCACAAAAGGGATGAGAACTCTTTAGGGGAACATAAGCTCCCTTACTTCCTTGGGTTGCACAACAGCCTGGCTACGTTAGCACTACCTGTTTCCCACCGTCATTCCAAGCACCATGTCCTCACTATCTTAGGGCCTTTTCTCTCCCATTTCCACTGTGATGGGCAATTAAGACCAGCTAACTCCTGCAATACCAGGTTGTAATGTCCCAGTGTCTGTAAAACTATCTTTCTTCCTTGGGTAACTTTTGGTACTGAGAGATGTGTTTTAGTGGGCACGGTGGGGATGTACTGATGGCTGGACTAGATGGTCTTAGAAGTCTTTTCCAACCTTTATGAGTCTATGATGAGACTCTTGGCAGCTGATCAGAGATACTGATACCATCCAGTGCCCTCACTCTTCATCCAAAGGGGATAAATAACTCAGCATCACCAATTTGCTCTTGCAACACCTCGAGAGGTCAGCAAGAAGCATGAGAGAATCGTCTGTTTCACGCTGATTTGTGTGGCTCAGTATATGAGAGTTTCTTTTATGTTGAGACTCCCAGAGAGATTCTTTCAGAAGTCAGGTAGCAGTGACTGGGCTGTTGGCTCAGCTTGGCAACGACACAGATACTCAGACCCAATGGTGCTTTACACTCATGTCCAAGAGAACCATTTATTGAGTTTACACAGAACGTGAGCAATGTGGAAAACACTAGAAATCTTGCATCACTGGTTTGGTTTTGGACAGCATTGGAAATGACAATGCAGCTGCTCACATCATGTCAGTATTATGAGGTGTGCAATATGCAATAAGGAGCCAAAGCTTTGCACTTTAGCTTAGGAAGTGCCCATCTCTGGCACATTCACTGCTTGCTCCTCTAGTGTCAGTAAAGCACTTAGCTGTCTGATGCTCCTTAATTTCACTTGAAACTTGTAAGTTGGGTACAAAACCACAGTTTTTGAACCAGTCCTTTTAAACCACAAGACTATTTCCCCTCCCTTTTCAACCCTTGGCCTTCCCACCCCATCTCATCTCATCCCATCCCCCATGCTCCCACCAACACATACCTCCTTCCCCTCCCTCTCACCCCAGTCACACAACAAATATCCTGATGCTGCAGTTCCAAGCCATGTGTCTGCCCCAGCCTATGCAATCCGATGGTCTCTGACCAAGTCCCTTTGTTCAGACATTAATACAAAACACACAATGGGGGGGGAAAAAAAAGAGCAAAACAAAAAGAGCCAGACACAAGAGGGAGACACTGCCGGGCTCCAGCTCTGGCCTCTGAGCCTTTCAACGAAGCTCCACAACAGCTAGGCTCTTGGGGTACCTCCTTTCACACTCAAGACTGCAGGTCCCAAGCTTTCCAAGGTGCCTAGGAAAAGAAGGAAAGGAAGTAAACTGCAAGCCTGTTTCTGTTTTAAGTTTCCCCCATCACTTTCCCTCAACCCAATGGCTGCTGGAAGAAATGGTTGACTCCGACAGGTCTTCCAGTAAAGCCCAGCCTGGGGACCAGCTTTGCTGTAAGTTCCTCTCCGTAATGTGGGCGATGGGTTCGGCAGCGAGGGGAGGGAGCAGAGCACATTTTGGGGAACAACAGGCTTTGTCTCACAGCAAACTGGAGGGAGATGTCAGGGAAGGTGAGAGAGAAGTGCTGAAGGAAGCCGGTCAAGCTGGCCCTCTGCTTGGCGTTTGGACTCAGAACTGCTCCTCGGGGCGGCTTCAAGTGTGCCAGAGCCGGCTCGTTGTCCAGTCACCTCTCACAGCCCTGCTGAGGGACAGCAAGCCGTGGGGTGCTCCCTGCTTCCTCGCCCTCCGGCCGGCCGCCCTCCTGCCCACTGGGGATCTCTGGGTCACAGTCGAGAGCCTCATAAATGGTTGGCAGCGTGGTCTGCTGGCTGAGACGCTTGCGCAGGCCCACGAGCAAAGGCTGCGGCATGGATGAGACATCCACGTTGTTGCCGAGGTCTACCCAAGCCAGGCAAGGGAACTTGTTCATGTCCTTCATGGTGTCAGTCAGCTCCTTCATGGTTGCTCGCGTCAGTCGGTTGCCGTTGAGGGAAAGGTGGGTGAGCTTGGGCAGCGCCCAGAGGAAGGGCAGCAGCAGGCGCACCATGTCGTCGTTCAGCTCGGTGAAGCTCAGGTCCACGGAGGTGAGGTGGTCCCCGTTGTTCTGAAGGTAGTACGCCATGCGGTGCACGTCCCGCATGGTCAGAGGGATCCCAGACAGATCCATGGAGCCCTGGCTCACCTTCTTCTGCAGGCTGTTCTTCAGGCTGGGGGTGGAAAGGGAGAGAGAGGAATGACACGCACAGAGCAGGGGAGGGCTCATTAAGAATATTCTGCAAACAGAAAGTGGAGCTTGGTTAGTTAACAGGCATGATGTTTGCACCATGCCTCTGGGCAGGTGGTGTCCTGGGGCTTTCCTGTGTCTTCTCTGCACCTAAACTCCTTAAGAACTGGCAAACCATATGACTCTGAATTCTTTCACTAATTCTTCAAACTAGAGGGTTTGTCTGGATGTGTACATACAGATGTTCACACATGGACAGCAGAAATACCCATGGCAAGCAAAGCTTCCATATGCACTGGTTTGCAATGTGTCTGAGCTGTTTTTTCACCACCTCTCCAGGTGAATGCTGTGGTCTGTTGCAAACAAATTATGCTGCAGTAGAGCAGTGTTAAAAGGCTGTGAAATGGATATTTTATCAGAAAAAAACAATCTGTGAGCAAACAGCACTCCAGGAGTGAATTTACCACGTCCCTTTAAGAGCCTTCCCCAGCATCTCCCACCTGTAGCTGCTGGTTTAGATCTCGGTGGTCAGCAAATCATTGGGGATCTGCTGCAGCTGTGAGGAGGTAGGCAGGGCAGCAGGGTGCTGAGAGCAATCTAGAGAGATCTGCTTTCACCTGTGGTCCTTGTTGTTTGCCAGGGGAACAGAGCAAGGAGGAGGTAGGCTGCAGGGTAGGTAGGTGGGTAGGCTGTGCTACAGGGTCTCAAAATGAGTGGGACGTGGAGTTCTGAGGTGGATTGTAGGTCTGTGGGAGTGCTGTGAGAAGTGGAAGCTATGGGGGATGACGAGGCTGTGTTGTGGGATTGAGTAGAAGCGTGTGTTGGTGTAATGTGGGAGCTTACTGCCTTAATATAAATGTTATTAGCCTTGCAGTCCTTACAGATGCAGATAGCTTTAAGGATATTGGACCTCTACTAGGATCTCCACTAGTGCCCTTACTCATATGCTCAGTGGGTGTAGAAGTGCTTTGTTAGGGTTGGGGTAAGAAATAGCCACCAGTATGAAGGTGCCCACTCTTCCTATCTGCCTGCCTGTAGTGTCCTGCACGGCTGCAACACAGCCAGTCCCTGGGAGCAATGGGCACACAGGGATGTGCAGTTTCCTTGGAGAAGGCTAGAGCACCACAGGAGCTGCCATGGCAGGTGAGAATGCCTCTGTAAACTTCAGTGTTTTCAGGCCCTTCTGCTGTTGTGGAGAGGATATGATGCTGCCCTTAATGCTCTGCTTTGTGTATACAGTTTGTGCTATTTCAGAAACTTCAGCTCCTAATAATTTCTATAAATATGTGGTAACACAAATGAATAACTATGCATCAGTGCATTCATTGACACTTTGTGGGTGCATGAAGATCCCATGAAGGAGCATGAGGAGGAAATGACCTCATGGGCTGCCCTATCTGTTCTACAGCCCACAAATTCCTGCTCTCTGGGTTTTGCAGCACTTTTTTTCTGGCTTTTTCTATGCATCCTTGTGCTTCTGGAGGGAATTCACTGTGCGAGGCTGAGGCTGTGTCTAATGTATTTAATGATTTCTCATGGTAGAAAGCTGTAACAGTGTGAAATAACTTGCATTCAGACCTAAAGGTTTCAAACAGCCTTATGTCTGCTCTTTATGGGACCTGGGCCACCCCTCTGTGGACCGTGAGAGGAGCAAGAAGATGTTTGTGCAGCAGCTGATAAAATGCCAGGCTTATTTCTAGGGGAGGGGATCATCTAATATCCTCTAATTTCTGCAAGTAAAATAGGTTTAAAGATAGCTTCAAATGAAGATGCTTTTTTCTTTGTGTGAGACAAAACAGCTATTTAGTGACATGGTTCTGGATGCCCATGGGACTTGTAGGCGGAGGGCTGTGAAGTGCTGGAGGCTGGATTAGCCTTGTGCTGCTGCAGCTGGTGCTGTGTGGCACATCTATAATTGCCAGGGTTTGCATCCAGCAAGGATCTAGACCCTGGATGCAGGGAAGCAGAAGATGTTTGTATTCTCTGCAGTAAATTTAGAGAGGAAATGTGATGCTGGAGGCTCAGCTTCAAGTGAGAATGCAATGTGAGCAAGAAGGTGATGTGCAGTCTGACCCCACAGCCTGCCTGGAGCCTGTGTGCAGCATGCAGTGAGGAGCAGTGCCTGCCATTCCTAAGAGATCAGTGTCCTTCAAATTCTTCCTCTTCAGTTAAGCTCTTTGGTGTCTGTGACAGCTCCTGCTTGTTGCTCTGGTGAGACTTGCAGCAGATCCAGTGGTGTTTGGCATCCTGTTGTGTTGTAGGTCTTGAAGGAGCTTGTTTAGCATCCTGGACATTGAGTGCTTTTGCCCTGTCTTCATGCTCAGGGAAGCAGAAGCTGGGAGGAAGTGGTAAGAGCCAAATAAGATTTCAGTAATGAAGGATGCCTAATAGTCCCTGCCTGTATCGCTGGGGAGTTACCAGCTTTCTCCCTCTATGTCTCTTATTTTTCTTTAATTTGCCTCCAAAACTTTATATTCAAAGTTTTCCTGGTGCTCCCACCGCTGTGCATCCCCTCCTTCATTAACAGGCACTGCCAGAGGTGGCTTATTAACCACGAGTTGAGTATTTCTTTGCTGTTCCTCCTTGCACAGAGCCTAATGACAGGCATGTCTGGATGGCTCCTCTGCCAGCGACTTAAGGGATGAGCTCCGGGCTTTTTAATTGCCTACTTAGCATAATCTGCTTGCTTTTGCTTCCTTGTGGCACAGGGTGCTGCTTTGAAAGTCTGGCTTCAGCTGCTTCTGGTGAGATGAGAGAAGCCTCAAGAGCACTAAGCTAAACAAACCCAGTCCCAGCTGTTCTTGTTCTTGCATCTGATTCTTACCACGTGGCTTTAGTTAACTGACTGGTATTCTCTAACTTGGCTTCCTAACTCAAAAGCAGAATGATGGTGAACATTTCCTCTGCTGTATAAATGAGAAATGGGAGCTCTACTTAATATTCATCTCATGCCATGTGAAGGCTAAGATCTAATCTGCCAGAGCTGTCATCTATGGCCCTGACTGATGTTTTCAAGAAGAAATAAAAAGACCTGAAGCCCTTTAGAGATGCTTCCCTGCAGTCTTCTAGACACAAATGCTTTCACTGCATTTTTAAAGTGCATCTAATGCTGCAGTGTCTGGGCAGTGCACATCAATAAATGAGAAATGGAGCAATGAGCCCAGAAGGAACACTCAGTTCCCCACCCGGCTTTAGATTAGCTAAGATATTACAAAATGCAATTCACTCTGGCAAATGAACTAAACCCATAAGTGTGACCTGTGAAAAAGGAAACCTGGATGTATGCAACTGAGAGTTACTAACTCCATATGCACAGATGCCTTGATTCTTCCAGAACAGGTTACTGGGTGGGAAACTGAGGCTATTTTTTCTGCACCAGGAACATCCTGCTTGTAAAGATTGCTCAGTTTTCTGCCTGCATGTTTTATGGGTTCAGGTTCCATCCATTGCACTGAAGGGAGGCATTGAGCAGCCAGCTCTGAGTGCAGTGCTAGTAGAAGATGTGCAAGGTTCCCCAACCCAGCTATGCCAACACAGTTCAGTCATCATCTATAGCTCCTTAATGGTGGTACTAGGCTACAGTGCTCCCCTTCAGACAAAGGCTGCATTAAGCTGATACCCTTTCCACTCTGAACTGCAGTCTGCTCTGGCTTTGCCCTTGAAAAGTAATATATACTTCAGGTCCAGCTCTCTTCTGGAGGAGAACATACAGTCCTGCAGTGCTGAGCCACAGCAGCTTTGAGATCTGACAAAAACAGCTGTGTCTCAAAAAACTGCATCTGTCAAAATGTTGCAGAAAGGGTTCTTGGTAGTCTAAGTAACCCCATGTCCACACTGAGAAGCCTTAACCTGTTTCTCTTTACATTGTAAACATCAGTTTATGGAAGAGAAGCTGGAGTTGTAGGGCACCCTGGAATGTGATTAGTCATCCTTAATGAGCTAAACTATATAACCGTGCTTTAACTGAAGTCCCTTTAGGATGCAAGAGGCTGACAACTGTGTAGTAAGGTCATGCTGGTCCCTGCTGAGGGAAAGTTATCCTCCTGCTTGTAGGCTTCTTACTTGAAAACCCTCAGTAAATTCCTCAAGAGCTCAGCCTTGGTGTTTGCTCAGGCAGCCTGCCCAAGCAGCACCATCAGGTGAGATACAGGATGTCAGCTGGGAGCTACAGACTCAAGACAAATATGTCAGGAAAGGAGAATGGAGACCTTTGTTTTCAGTGTAGCAAACCTGATTATCACCTGAGCAGCTGAAATAGTCTCTTTGGGTGCATGAACAGCTGAGACTTCTAACCTGTCAAGAACCAACTAGCTTGGATGCAGGAGGGGATCTGTCTTCCAGCATCGTCTATGACAATCAGGGAAACCAGAGACAGTCTGGACTGGATCTTTCTTCCCTACTTCAGCTGCTGTTGCATTCAATCTGCTGCTGTAAGATTTCTTCTTCCATGTTTCTCCGTGAACTCTGGCCTGGGGTGTTCAGCTGGTAAAAGCTGCTCTGATGGCAACCTGTGGCACCTGTTGTGTCCTCTCCCTATGAGATTCACTGCACCTTTGCTGTGATCACAGCCTCAGGTTAAAGGCATCAGAAGCAGGTAGGACCTATGGCTTTAGTGTGGGAGCGGGTCTGTGGTTAAGAATATCCAGAGAGATGTTCTTGTCTGAAAGCTCTCATAGGATGTTTTGCTAACAGTCTCTGAGGGATCTGGTTGGGCTCAATGTGTGACTAAAATGAGACTGCTTCTGCATGATGGAAGTGTGACTGGTCCTTAGCAGAGTTTGCAGTTCCAGTTATCCTGGGATCACTGTGTATTGAAACAGGAGTGCTTGAAGACATTTATCTCATTCTTTCTACTTCATCAATTCATGGGTAGCTCAGGTTTGTACTTACTCGAGAGGGTTGGGTTCCACTGACAGAGATTAGGATGTGACTTAGAGTCAGTTCCTGCCCTACAGGTTTGTTGCTTGGTCACAGGGGAACACCTGATGTGTGGTCCTGCTCGAGTACGGTGGGTCCTTTCCATCTCCCAGACCACATCTCTGTAGCAGCCCGAGTGTAATTAAAACCTGCCAGAAGTTCCCTGTTGTCTGTGTGGCTGAACTTGCTAATTATCCCCTGGACCCATTTGGCACGTTGCCAGAAAGTGGAAAAAGAGATGAATTGGGTTCTGTATCAGACCCAAGAAAGCCCAAGCCCAGAGGATCACAAAGACAAGGGAATATGTTTTCCACACATTGATTCCTCTGAACAATCCCAGATTTCCACCGGAGATTAGAAATGCCTTCAGAAGTCTTGCTGTTATACATGTACTTCTTACAGGACCTTGAAGGTAGAAAGGTACAAGGCAGGGGCAGGAGTTCAGACAGAGGTCAGAGTGAAATGCTCTATAGCAGATGGCAGGAAGCAGAGAGCACAGATCAGTTAAAAACAGCCTGGCTGGACAGACTACAGCCCTGATATCTCCAAGTGAAACAGTAATTCCTTGCTTTTCTGCTACCAGCAGCAGCCAAAGATGCCAATTCTGCAGGTGCCTTTTGCCACAAACAAACCAGTTCCTCTCCTGTTTTTTAGCAAGAAAGTGCTGCTGTTACATATTTAATTCAAATTATTCTGCCTTATGCAATGCTCTGCAGCTGTGTCTCGGCTGTGTGTCTGCAGGGCTGCCAACTTAGAGTGCTTGTGGGGCTGCATACCTTTCAAGTACTGCTCTCTCTTCTTCCTTAGCACTGTGGCAGCAGGACTGATTTCGATGCACTTGAGAGAGCCTGAGGAACTTACCACATTTGGGACTTCCTGCGGGGCATGCCATGCCGGTGCCATTTGGAGTGTGGGGTCAGGTGGTAGATTAGCTGCCTGCAGATCCTATCTGAGGACTTCCAGGGGTCGTATTCCTGCAAGCAAAGGGATAGTTTAGGCTCTGTGTGCTGCTGCAGAAGAGGAGGAAAAGGGTGGGAGGTGGGAAAGGGACTGGGTGATAGTGGAGTATGGGACTGTACGCAAGGAAAGATGGAAAAGAGGATGAAAAAGGAATGGATAAAAGGTTGGAAATGTCTCTGCAACACTGCACGCACTTCTGGGGTGCCAGGAACATGTAAGTACCCCACACTGCCAGGAAGAATCCCAGCCCAGCATTTTCCTGCCTTGACAGGGGAGTGGGGCTGCAAACCTGGACTCTTATTCCTTCCTGTGCTCAGCTAGGAAATCTGGAACAAGGAACCAGCCAGGTCCCTGCACTGCACCTTGCTTCCTTGCAGTCTGCTTTTCTCCTGGAGGTCTGAGTTTGGGAGCTTCCCAACAACAGCAGTTCCCTCCAGCCCTTGCAACAACTAACTCATCAGCACCGAGGTGGCTGCAGCTCTCCTGAGCTGAGTTTCTTTTTGCACACATTCTCCATCTCTGTGACTTTGAAAGCATCTCTCTTCTCCTGGTGAAGCAGAATGACAAATGGCAGCTGCTGAAGGTTGGGATTTCTGCCTCATCTGGCATACAGACACCTGCATTCCTATTCCTCAGCCTTCCAGCCATAGTGCAACATGTGCATTTAGAGATTTGATAGGTAAACACATAGTAAAGCTGTCAGAACATACGCTAACTTATTCTTTATTGCAAGCAGTTAAAGTGCTATAGTGTGGGCCAACAGCTGCACAGTGATTCTTCAGTCCCTGAGTCAGCTGAGTATCCCCAGGATGCACTGCCAGCACGTGGCTACTTTTCTGTGCCAAATGAAGAGAAATCCCAGCCTGTACTCAGGAGAGCATCTCTTGACCCATCCCAGTTCACTTGGGGAGCCCAAGGGATTGGCATTAAGTGCCCTGTTCCAGACTGCTGCTGCACTGGCAAAGTGGGTGCTGGTGCCACCTACAACAGCAGGTGCATGCCAGGCTTCATGACAGATGCTGGAACAGTGCCCTGTGAGTGTTTGCTGGCTCACAGTTGAGAATTACCCTCCTGTTCCCTCCGTGTTCTCGCTGATGTAATTCTCTGCTGGAATTACATCACGCTCAACCTTTGGCATGTAAGGTTGTTACAGCTGCTGGGTGCTCAGCTTGGGTCAGAGGGAGGGGATGTGGGGTGCTGGGGCTTTCCAACCCCCTAAATAATCTCCTGTGGGGAAAATCTTATCTACACAATGGTAGACATGGCATTTCATCTAAGCATATGTGCATATAAGACATGGAAGTAGAGAAGAGGGATGTATACAGGTGCACAAAAATCAATGTGTTGTCTGCTGGCAGGGCAATATCTCCCAGTGTCACTTCACTGCTCAGTGAGATGGGCAAGATTTGGTTAGGTGGTAGTTTCAGATGCTTGTATTTGGATAATAATTACTCTTGAAAAGATTTTTCAGGCTATTTTACAGCTGTGATGAGGATTAGAATGCTGCTAATTTGCACCAGGCTTTCAGCATACTCCCCAGGGCACCATTGCCTGCTCTGAGCTGCGTGTGCTTAATAGCTATCTTTGCATAAGTTCACTCTGTTGCCCTCTCTATAAAGCAAACACGACACTTGCTGAGCCTGATGAGTGAACGGATGGTGCTTGTGGTGGTAAAGGGTAACAGCTGGTGTTGCTGTGGGATGTAGTGCTGGGTTAGGATGGTCTCATGTGATAAAGCCTTAGAGAGGGGTTCTTGTCCTCCTCCCAGAGTCACCAGCTTGGGCAGAAGTGCGGGGGACTCTGTAGCTCCATAAACACCTCTTTCCAACGGCTAGCTTGTGGGGATGGGGGTGTGCCATTGTATATGGCAACACTGCCTTCCCCATCATATATTTTTATCTGGCACATGTCCTCACAACCAAGTCTTTTGTTGACAAGATGAGTAATTCCCTGACTTTTGTGCCTATAACCTCTCTCTCCCTCAACTGCAATTATGTTCCAAAGTTCTTTCAACTGATTTCTACAGATATGTGCACATCACTGCATGCTCTACCACTCCAAGGATGCATGCTGGCTGGTTCTGGAGAACCACCCAGCTTGATCCACCTCCTCATCCGAGCTCATTCTGCATCATGCCACGTTGTGAAGTGTCCACTGAGCTAAAGGGGAGGATTCACCTTTTTGGGACACTGCAGGTCCCTAGCAAGGCTCATCAGCAGGTCATGGGAGATGGGATCCACCAAGTTGAGGAAGGTTGCATTTTTGTAGAGGACTTCATTGAGGAATGTTCCTTCCAGTCCCAGGTCCTACAAAAAAAAAAACAACCAGACATACAGCTGAGCATCTTGGGAAGGAGGATCATGGATACTCACTTGGCAATACTCTGAGGACAGAAAAATACCCCAGCAACAAAAAAGTAGAACAAGAAGACTGGGATGTAACTGGGATGATGCTGAGTTGGATTCAGTTGTTGAGGAGGGCTCAGCTGAGGGAGGAAACGAGTCCTCTGCCCATTCTGCATGCTGCTGCCAGAAGAAATGAATAAGCAAATGAGTGCCCCATATGTTCACACTGCTCCACTGAAAGTGTGCTTCAGGCACCACTCAGGGAAAGATGCACTGAGAACTCTAGGAGAGAAAGCTGGGAGTGTGTGCGTGCAGAACCAGCAGGGACAGAGCCATCACTGGCAGAGGTGCTGAATCTTAACCCCAAGCAGCAAGCAAAGCTGTTGCTGTATCCACTCTCCCTGCTCTGTGTATGCCCAGATCAAATTGAGCGGATAGCAGAATGGAGACAAAGATCCTGGCTACAGATGTGATGGAGAAAGCAAGAATAAATCAAATGCTTTACAGCCCCACCACCGCATGCACAGCACAAGCAACCGAGGAGCCCGAGCAGTGGGTGAATCCTGAAGGACAGAAGCAGCTGGATGTGGGCCAAGGCATCGTGCCAACATCTCCCTTAACCGTAAGGCTTTGGGGAAATGGAGCCTCCTACACAGCGTAGCACGGATAGATGAGGGAAGCTGCCAAGAGGATGGCATGGCTGAGCCTGCAGCAGTGGATGTCAGACTGGTAATTACACTCCCCCAGTTGGAGCTATGCTGTTAAGTTGAATCTGCATTCCCATTATAAGACTGCCTTCAAGGGTTTTATCAGTAATATGGATAGAAACATTCACTTTGTGTTGATAATCTATAAATTCTAAGCACAGGGCATTTTCTAGTTCTTAGTTGTATTCTTCCCTTACTGCCTCCTTTTCTTTTTCCTGTCCTTCTCTGTTCTTTGGAAAATGCTGTACTGCCCACCCGGGCACTGTGGTGAGCAGACAGCATGTTATGGATCCGGGCCGTTCCGCTGGCACAGTGCTCTTATTGGGCACTTGGTTGCTGATGTCTCAGCACAGGAAAATCTAGTTGTACTTTTTACTGCTGTTAGTCTGATGCCTCCAGCAGAGCGATGCCCACTCACCAGCAGAAACAGATCTTTCTCTGGCAGGTGAGTATTTCTCAGGCTGATGTGGACAGGTGCAATGCAGCCATCAGAGTGCTGCTTTGCAAAGCAAGTGTGCATGAGTGTACTCCTGCTGTTTGCAGTTGTTCTCAGCATGCTGCCAGAATCTCGCATCCCTGTTGAGTAGATCTGCTTACAGCTTCTCCCTTTATTTAATTACAGCTTCCTGATGTCCTGGGAGCAATCCACCACCTCTTGGGGCCTGCAGGCCACGAGCTGAGAAGTGCTGGTGGATACAGCGACAGCGTGCAGGGTGGATCTGTGGGGCTGGATGAGGTCTGGCAATGGCAGGAGGCAATCCCAGGAGCCCTGGTGTGCCTCAGTGCATCCCCTCATTCACAGGGGTTGCAGTTCTGGCTCCGGTGTTGCTCTGCCATCTCTAGGGAAGGGAGTGCCAACGCTGCCAGTCTGAGGCTCGGTGATTAGGTATGGTGTTAAATGTCCTCACTGCCCACTGGAGTGAAGGAGGTCTCTCTCTCTCTCTCGTTACAGGTAACAAACAGACCCTTGCTTGGGATGTGTTAACCAGCAACTTGCAAGAGCATTACTGCTCAGGTAAGCAGTCTGTGTGAGGAGAGAGATGCTGGGGACCAAGCTAAGAGCTGAGCTTAGCTGAGAGTGATGTAATGTTGTGAATAATGAAAGACGTTGATCGCGGTGCTTTGAAGCATTGGACACGTGAGAATTGGTTGTGATTATCTGCCCCCAGCATGGCTGACAGCTGTGTTCAGCCGTTGGAAGGCGCCATGCACATTAGCAGCCTTTGAGCACACAAAGAACCGGAGGCGTTGTGGAGGTGCTGGATGGGTTCCCATCTCATTTTGTGGAGGAAGGCTGTGTTGGGACCACAGGATGTGTGTCCCGCTGTGGTGTTGTCAGCAGATGAACAGAGGGTCACTGTTTTAAGATGGACAGACAGAGATGGAACAAGGGGAAGTGAGAGGGCAGGGGGCAGAAGAGGAGTGCTCAGCATATGGTAATTCTGGGTGCAGGGCTGAGCCTGAAAGACACTGGCAGGCTGTGTGGGAAAGAGGGCTCAGCAATGACCCTCCATGGCTCTGTGACTCAGCATCCAAACCCCACTGCTCGCAGATGGGGCTTGCGAAGACCGCAAGGTCTGGGAGAGATTTTAGTGCTTCAGCCTGAAGGAGAGGTGCTGAGTACTATAGAAAATGACATTTTGAGGTTCTGGCCTCTGGCAAACCCTATAGAAGTCGGTTCGTGTTAGACTGCCACAGCTGTGAAGAAAAAGAGGCAACCACTGACTTCTTGGAATAACTCTTCTCCTAAACTGCCTTTGAGATCTTACTCAGCCCTTGTCTGCCATATACAGGATTTTTGCTGAGGGTTATCTATATGCATGCATGGCAAGAGGGCTGTTTGCAGGGCTTAGAACGCTCCTCACGTGAACTCTGAGTCAGTGGGCATGAAAAGCAGAGAGGGAATTTTAGGTCCCATAATTTCCTATTTGAAAAAGTGCAGCTCACCAGTAGCTGGGAGCATTGGTCACGCTGAGGTGTGCTGCAGAGCCTGGGACTCAGAGTGGACATTACTGCAGCTGTACAGCATCCCTGAGAGCCCAGCCCTGCTCCAAAGCTCACACCCAAAGGCTGCTGGCTGCTATAGAAGCAACTGGGTACATTCCCAGCATGAAGTGAGTCATTATCTAATGAAGGGACACGATAAGCTGAGAACCGGTGGTGTTTTGTGCCAAATCAGAAGGAGCATTTGTCCCCTGTGCTGTTTATTTCAGAGCCGCCTGCAGTTCGGGGAGGTGAGTTTGCCTGGAAAGTGAAGGAGCGATGGAGATGCTCTGTTCCAGCAATGGTGCTCTGCATCCCTTTGGCAGTGGGCTGTCTGTGCGGTGGGGGCTCTTCTATGCCTGCATAGCGGCAGACAGAGCCCTGCTCCCTCGAAACGCCGATCCCTTTCCCCTCCAGCCGGGCTGCGGGAGGTGGCTTTTCCCTGGGGAGCAGCGCTCCTGAACGCACCGGGGGCTGACGCGGAGGGTTGCGGGTTGGGACGGCTCGGGCACCGCTTTACCTGCCCGCCGGCTCCCCTCCTAACAGCCTCAGTCCCCGGGCGGGGAAGGGGAGGTGGCAACGAACTACGGGCGGTGTCCCCAGCCCGAACGGCGGCACAAAGAGCCGGCCCCGCACCGCCCCGGCCCCTTTGTTGCCCGGAGGCGGCCCGCCCCGCCCGCGGCTTTTACCTTCCTGAGCAGCCTGAGGATGTGCACGGCGTGCTCCCGCTTGTGTTCTCGGATGGTGGCCTGAATCTCCCGCAGCCACCCCACCCTCCGCACGTAGGGAGCGGGCGAGGCTTTCCGCAGCACCCCGGGCAGCTTCTGCGGATTTAGCAACAACGAAGAGAGGTGGAAGTCGGCACGGCCGGAGGGTTCCTCGGCCCCGGAGCTCTCATCCTCCAGGCTGCTCTGCCGGCTCAACCGGGAGCCCATGGCCGCGCCGCTCCGGGCCGGGAGGGCTCCGAGCTCCGAACCGGGGAAGGCGCCGCGAGGGGCGGGCGGGGGTCGGCGCTGCCCCGCCCGAATGGCTCCCCCCCCCTTGGGCCCCCCCCCCCCCCCCCCCCCCCCCCCCCCCGCCCCGGCTGCCGCGTTCGGGGGTATCGCGCTCTGCCGGCCCCCACCTCCTCTCGGAGGCCGCTCCTCCCTTCTCAGGGTGTGTTCTGCCGAGGGGATGCTCGCTGCGGAGGACAAAGAGAGGAGCGGATCCCTCTCCTCATCCCTCCCTGCGTCCAGGCGCTCGGGGGAGCTTTGACCCCGGGCCAACACCTGGAACGCTGCGAGAGACGAGCGGTGCTTCCGAACGCACCTTTGGGCTGCGGGCAGCCGTTTTCTGCCGCTCTGCTGCTGGAGCAGAGGAGGCGCCTTTTGCCCGCCGGCGGACGTTAACATAATTCTGTCCCCTTCCCCCGCCGCTGTGGGCAGGTTTTGCTCGTCGCTTCCATCCCCCAGCAGCACGCGACAAACTTTAGGAGGTCCCCAGACTGAACCGCTGCGATCCAACGGGGCGTTGAGAAAGCAAAGGTCGGATCCCAGAGCTGAGACTTTGCAGGCAGCCGAGTCACGCTCCCAGTATAACCAGCAGCTCAGCCTGACTTCCCATTGCTGGAGCTGTGAGCTTCCTCTTTGCTTAGGACTGCTGTTGGATGCCTGCAGCACACGGAGCATGGTGTTGGTGGCCTGTGACTGTAGGAGCAGCCTGGGGTTGAGACAGTATCACCTCTGTAGGAATATCCATTCCTGCAGGTGCTGGGCCCTCATTCTGGGGGATGCGAATGGCTGTGGCCTTTTGCAGTACAGAGCAAAGTTTGCCTTTCCTTCTCAGAGCCTCAAATGATGCCACCTCCTTCATGCTCTACTGGTTTGAGCAGAGAGATGGGAAGGGGCTGCCCTCAAAGCAGTGTGGCCAATGCATCAGCTTTGCCCTGTGTTTATGCACATCCCCAAGCACAGCAGGTGAAACACAAGGGCCTTTATCATACTTTTGCTTAATGTTTGATCAGAGAAAAACTGGCTATCTCTGCTCATCCCCTCCCTACCCTAGCACCTGCAGGAGAGAAACTGGCATCAGCAGATGCTGAGGTACTGCTGAGGCTGACTTGGGCTGATCCCATTTGGAGGGAGAGCTGCTGAGTAAGGGCTGCAGGGTCTGGTTGGAGAGGTCCAAGAGGGGCTGGGTCAGGAGAAAATCACTGTAAAGTGCAGTGTTATGGCTGATGGTGATGGATAGGAGAAGACAACCCCTGGCAGGCTGATGGCTATGGGGCTGTGCAGCAGCAGAATGAGCTGCCTGAGCTCCATGCTGGGAGGAGGAGCAGCAGGTTTGTAGCCAAGGTATCAGCTCATTGCAGAGTGGCTTTGTGTGTCTCCTCCTGTCTGTGTGGTTTAAAAGTGGAATCAGTGTGTGAAAAAATAGAGCTAATGAGAAATACAACAGTACTGGGCTTGGTTTCTTCCTGCATTCTGTCCCACTAGGGATACTTGCACCTCTCATCAGGGCATTGCCTGGCTCCAAATCAAACACAGGTACATATGGCACTGCTGACTGCAGCTGAGCTGGGCAGTGTGGCTGTTAGAGTTCTCCCAAGAAGTGTCTCTTAAGATTAGAATGGGAAAAGTACAGAGCAAGCAGAGATCCTCTCTCTATTTGCTCACGTTCTGTGCCTCAGGCACATCTGCTTGTCATTGTGCTGATGTCCTGTAATGGAGATGTTCTGCACCAGGGCCTTTGGGACAGGTAAGCAGAGCTCAGGTCCATGCCAAGAGCAGAAGAGTGATGGCTCTGGGTCAGCCCACGGCCTCTCTGCATGAAGACCCTGTATTAGGAGGGGCTGTTGGCAGTGCCTGGAGAGAAGGTAACAGGAGGGATGCAGGTTGCTGTTTCCCTGACTATTGTTCTGGCTGCTGACCAGGAGATGGGAATCTCTGCTTTTAATTACCTTTTGCCCTTTTTGCTTTCCTAAACCTTTTTTGAACCAAAGCAAGCACAGCACCTTACAGCAGCATGTTCCGACATCAGACTGCGTTGTGTGCAGAAATATTTGTTCTGAATCTGTCACTCGCTGCTTTTCTTTGCTGCTCTGTAGCTAAAAAACATGGAAGAGACAGCAAGCTATCTTTCTCCATCCGTTTCCCCACCCATCTCTAATGATAAATCTCTGCTGTGTCTGTTTCTTGGGCTCCTGTGGCTCAGAGCAGGAAGCCCTGCCTGGCAGTGGGGCTGCAATCCCAGCTGCTGCCAGGGAGGACTGCACTGCACACACCCATGTGCTGGGGTTGCTCTCATCTGTATGCTGCTCGAGTGGGATCCGAATGACAATCCTAATTATGTTTGCCTTGTATAAGATGAAAGCTGCATTTCTGACTGGGCTGGGAATGTAATTGATTAATTTAGCATTTAAGAAGGGAAAGAGGATTAAGGTGGTGGTGAAGCTGTGCTGCAAGGCACTGTGTTTGCTGCCTCGCACTATGCTTCAGCTTTTGCTTGCCTGCAGAGCAGCTCATCTCAGCTGTCATTTCTTGTGGGGTGGCTCTGAGTTTGCTGGCACATTACTCCTGGAGAAGAGGGAGCTGAGTCCTGGGAAGACACCTGCAAAGAGCGATTCCAGGCTTCAGCTTTAGTTCCCTTCTATCTGGAGGCAGGAGCGCTTGCTATTTTGCCCCACTCTGTCTGCAGGAGAGAGAGATGTATGTGGGGAGCTCCATAACTCAGACTCTTGTAGACCATTGAGCAGAGCAGTACAGACTTGGAGAAGGTCCACTCTCCCACAGTAACACACATTAGGGAAGAAATCCCCTTAATGTGCAGAATGCAGGGAGGGGATTGAAGGGCACAGCATCAGTGGGGAATCCCTGAGGTGCCTGTAAGTACAGCAGTAACTGCATGCACACAGGCACTGCTGTGACCGTGCTTAATGGAGAGGTGTAACAGTTTTCTATGTAATATTTATTAGTTCTTCAGCCTTTTCCTTCTCGCACTGAGGCTCTCCCAGTGGGTCATGAGGCCCTGAAGTATCCTGGTGCTCCAGGGCTAAGGCAGAAACAACACTTAGAAGTGGAAGAATTCCATTTAAGTAATCATGGGCATCTGCTCGCTATGGCAAATTGATCATGTTCTAACAGGGCCTATTAAGGCAGATTTGTTGGGCTGAATATTGCTGCCCTAATGACCCAAGATGCTGTGCCTACGGGTGTGCTGGGCAGCAGTGCTGCATGCACAGGAAGCTCACGAGTCCTCCCCAGTGGTGCATGGCATTAACCTGACTTCTTTGCATAGGAGAATTCTGAACTTCCACTGCTTTCGCAAGGAATCAGTGAGATATCTGAGGTACATGGGGGGTTTCTACTTCTCTCCATGCCAGGAACACTCTGCACCCATATTACTTAGATGGGTTTTGCTGTGATTAGATGAGTCTGCAGTGTGAGGTTGGGTGCTGGGGGGGTGGAGCCTTGCTGGGCTCAGCAGGAGCAGTGGAGGAATTTCACAGACCCACATTGGGCCGTGAGCTTCTTGCATTTTCAGTATCAGAGACATCTGATCTTGTAGCATGTCTCACTGGGATTCCGTGTGATGTGTTGTGTCTCACAAAAAATATTTCTAAAGAGCTTCTTAAATCCCTGCCTTAAAAGGGACAGCAGCAATTTCTGGAGTTACAGTTCCATAAAAGAATTAAACCATCTTAAAGCTATAGAGGGGCGGCTGAAGGCAGCGCTTGGTGCTGTTAAGCTGCTTTTGGCATTTGAAACTGCCAAGCACACAGATTATATTGGCTCTGAGCATCTTAGCATGTTGCTAAACTGCTGAGAGCAACCATGGCCCCCAGGGGAGCACAGGACCTGATGTTGGTGGTGTGTACCTAACCTCTGCCTTAGGCTTTCAGATTGTCCAGAGACCTCTGTGCATGGCAGAAAGATCCTCAGGGTCCCAGTGTGCCCAACTGCTTAGCTTGAGCTTTTCCAGGAGGCTACAGCACAGCCCTGCTCCCTCCAGCAAACAGGTTTCCCCTCCTTGTATGTGCTGTTAGCATCACAGTGCTGCTAAGCCCCTTTGGGCTCTGTCAGGTTCAGATAGTGCCCACCTGTGCCACTTGTGCACACAGCATGCTGTTCCCCCAGTGCCCTCCTTGCAGCTGTCCCTCCTGCTGAGCTGCAGATGGAGCCTTTCAGACAGGCTGTCAGAGCCCATGAGCCTCACCAGATGCATTTGCTGCATTAACCTTTGAAGCCAAGTGAGCTTCTGTTGTCAGAACAGCAGAGGCCAGCAGACAACCTTTCACCCTCCCCTCCTTCTTCTTCCTCCTTGGCCTCTCCTGTGCTGACTGTAGCAGTTCTGCATGGCTTTGCCTCATCGCGTCGGTCTGTGCAGTTCACCAGTGAGGAATTTCATCCACGCCTTAAAGGGCCGAGTGGATGAGGTTAGGGAGATCTCCATGGGACTGCAAGCAGTCCTAAAGGAAGGGAGGTGAGAGGGAGAAAAGCTTTATGGGGGCTGGCCTCGGGATGGTGCTTGTGAGAGAGGTGGCCGAATGCCCTCATCCTCTGCATGGTCGTGGCACAGGGCAAGGGAGAAATACTGGGGTGCTCTCCTTGAACCCGAGAGGCACTGCTGGCCCTCGGCATCCCTCCCTCCCTGGGGCTGCTGGTGTGCATGAGCCTGCTGATGGCTGAAGTGCATTCTGAGAGTGAAACAGGGCAGCTGATCCCTAGGGGCAATTTCATCCCCTCTTTTTCAAGCCAAACCCAGGGCTGCTCCAGGAGCCGAGGCAGCGGGCCTGTGCTTGGTGAGCAGTTACGTCCGAGAACGAGGAGCCTCTCGTCCGAAAGGTGCCCAAAGCCACGGATGGGCAACCAACCCACGGCGGGGGGTTGGAGCCGGCCGATCTTCAAGGTCCACTCCAACCTAAGCCATCCTATGAAAGGCGCGGACCCGCTCGCGG